CTCCAATACTTCATTTTACCATCGGGTCCATCTAAGTTGAATTTTTTTCTCGTCGCTAAAAATAACGTTATCCCATTCATGCAACCAGAACTTATTTTTTTCAGCAAACTGTAGTCTTGCTTGCTTGTGGCTTTGCTTGAGCTGTGGTACAGGCAACATTTTTTCATATCTAACGTTATCGTCTGAACTTAAAATTTGTTGAACTCGACGTTTTGTCACCTCAAGAGAGAGTTGAGCTTTTATTTGGCCAGAGCTCAGGGATTTATTCACCGCTAAACGCTTAATTTGACGCTTGGTCCTTTCATCAATGTTTGGCGGGCGGCCCAATCGCGGTTTATTTGGTAAACCATGTGGATTTTTCAAAAACTTGTGAATTGTTGTCTTACTTCTGCACATAATTTTTGCTATATCTCTTACAGTTTTGCCTTCCTTCTTCAAATTGAGAGCAATTTTCTTTTCTGAATCGGAAAGCAGAGCTTTCGGTGCCATTTTGCTATGAAAAAAAAAATAAAGCCACATTACACTGAAATGCTCTGCAAATCAATAAATTTTATATTCTTTACACACTTTCTTTTATTTCGGTTATTGAAAATTCAATAACACCACTTTTTCTGCGTTTGTGCCACTTTTTTTTCCTACGACCGATCGCAAGCCTTTTAGAAGTTCTTGAAAAAGCTGTTAAAGATGTATTTCACACAATTTTTGAACTTTTTATCACTTTCACTAGAATATCACACATTCGAAAAAATGATGTTTCTGACCACGCCTACTGTAGTATTGTTTCTATTTCTAATATCAAAGTTTACTTTGGTCGTGTACCACATTTTATTTCCCCCAGGTAGTTGCGCAGATAATATGGTAGACAGACGGAGAAAATTAATTTGAATTAATAAGCATAAATGCAAATTAAAATTTTACCCTTACAGACGGCAGTAATGCGAATAAACCAGCCGCAAGGTCGTGGGTTCGAGTCCCACGGCCAGTATACTTTTTTTATTTCTTTTTCATTCTTTTTTTTATAAGTTCTATATTTTTGTTTACGTTACTTTCAGTTAGTTGTTGTTGAATTTTTAACAAAATTCATCTCTAAAAACTAAAATTAACTAATAGTAAAATAAGAAATGTGATATAAAATAAAGCAAATGAAAATAAAATAAAGTAAAATTAAATATATAAATAAAATAAAATAAAAATATATAAAGAAAAAAATAATAAAAACAAAAAAAATTCTCAATCGCTCCAACCGAGTATCGAACCTGGCAGCTACAGGCTTGTAGCTTGCAACTCTCACCACTCGGCTACCGCGTACGCGAAACCCGACTGCTTCGTTTGCTTACTTGTACAAAAGACAACAACTGGCCGTTTTTACCAGTGTTGTCATCGAAAATTCCCCGGATCCGAGTTAATTCCCAAAAATTACGTGCATTTGTTCGGCTGCTTATGCTCATTTTAAAGAGGAAAATGCATGAGTTAAACAAATTAAGGCTGGTTATGCAAATAATCGAGCCCGTTTGTCTACCATATTAGTCTCATAGCCCGAACACAATGAAAACGACGAGCTACGGACCACAGCTGTCAAATTATTTTACCACGTACTCTTATGTAGATAATTATTTTGGCGACGACCGGGCTACGAGGACGGTTGTGGTTGTGGCCAGATTAGATCTATTTCTATTTTAATGGCAACAGACAAGATTCTTCCTCTTCTTTTATGTCAGACTCATACAAATTCATGATGTCGCTGCCGCGTTCAAAGAAATCATGTCGCCATCGACAAAGCGTTTAGATAATGAAGATGACAAATTGGAAGCTGTGGTCCGTAGCTCGTCGTTTTCAATGTGTTCAGAACTTCAGCATCAACTGATTTGATTTGCTTTGCCGAAGTGCTAACAAAGCATCAGTCAATCGTCAATTATCGTAAGACGCACGATGACCATCGTATCATACATGTGTCGACGTCGCAGCAAGCAAGGTTGGTTTTTGTTGTTGAAAATCCCCATTCATGCGCAAATGAACAAATAGAAATAAAAAAAAGTTTCAAGATGTGGTAGTTTTTTAGCTTACGGTGGCTGAAGTAGTTGAAATGTAATTTAGCAAAAAAAAACGTGTTATCTATTCCACAAATTTGGCGAAGTCCGAGCACTGGCTGGTGAGAAAACCTGCTTTGCTTCGCACACAAGCGCATATGTGTGATAGTGTGAGTGCCCACCTCTGTTCTAGCGTCATCAGTCAACTTTCGCAACAAACGTGGCAAAGACGGGTTACGATTAAGTGAAATTCTTTTTTAATTTGTTATTTGTTCATGTAAAATCGTTTAAAATGACAAGGGCGCATTGCTGTTGTAATCCTTTTGAAAGAAAAGGACACAAATGTGTCACGAAAAGGTTAAAGCTTATAACCAGTAAGTGGAAAAAAAATAAATTCAGTGAATTCATAAATCGCTTCATGTGCCACTCGTGTGTAACTGAGATTTATAAAATGGGCCGGTTAAAATGTCCTCAAATTCATTCCGCAACAAAAAACAGGTAAGAAGTCGAAACTGTTTTTATTAACACATTATCAATTGAAATTAGTTTTTTAATAACTCCAATTGAAAAACTTACGTTCAAAGATATTCTACTACTATATAAAAGTAATAAAATTAATGATAGTTTGCAGTGCAACTTGTGGAATAATTTTACTTATTTCTATTTGCGGAATTTAAATTCTGTGTGTCAATTGCAGGTTTTGATTGATTTTGAAGCTAACCATAATAGTGATGCAGAGGATGACAGCGGAATTGCACATGACGACTTAATTGCAGATCCTTCTTTTGCTAATGAATCGGTCGATGAATCATTCACAGTATCAAAAATTAGTAGTTTACTCGAGCAGTTCAGGGAACCTGCCATTAAAATACAGCGACTTTCAGATTTATCTGACCACGAAAAAGAAGAGTTAAATGCGAGTCTAGAGAACATTAAAAGGAATATTATAAAGAATGGATCAAATATTGAAGAATGCAACTCAAATAATCAAATTTGCGCGTACTTTTTAACAAGCAAACGTGTCGTGCGAACAAAATTTCTGTTCTAACTATGGTTCCGGAAAATTGGAGCATTAAAATGATAAGAGACAGTATTAACGTATCACGCCGAATGACTTACCAAGCTAAAAATCAACGTGCTACGGGTGGAGTCGGTCACGACCGTCAAAAAAAAGGGTAGTCCTATAGATTCAGCCATTGTTGAAACAATTTAAAACTTTTATCGTTCTGATAATGTGAGTCGAATTATGCCTGGCGTTAAAGATTATAAATCTGTCAACAAAAATGGAATTCGATCACAAGAGCAGAAAAGATTACTGCTAGCAAATCTTGCAATTTTACCTGCGGAATTCTGTGAAAAATATCCCAAATCGAAAGTTTCGTTATCCGTCTTCGTAAAATTGCGTCCACTCCAGTGTATTTTCGTGGGTCCAAAAGGTACACACAATATATGCGTATGCAAAACGCATGAAAATTTTCGCCTCAAATTTGTGGGATTGGATAAAGAGATAAAGACCCTGACTTCTCACTGGAATGTCGAAATTGCTTTGCAAAAATAGTATGTTTGAATCCAACACCCGATTGCTTTCTGCTAAGATCTTCGGAATGTCCTAGAATGGAGAAACTTTCAAAAAATTGCCAGTCTCTCTTACAAACACGAAACATTTCTTCCATAACTTTCCAGCAATGGATTAGCACCGACAGGTAAATTACATAAAGAATAATGGAAGATTTAAATAGTCCCATGTCGATCAGTTTTATTCCATCAATTAACACTACATAAACAAATTTAAATAAAATTGTTTATATTTTGTTTGGATAAATTTTTACATTTATTTTTTTTATATTTAAATATGGGTATTAAAAATTATACTATTTCGGCTAAAAAGTCAAAAATAACTTCATGTAACAGGTGCACAATGTAAGAAGTGAAGGAGCCAAGCAAGCTGTTTCTGGCAAATCTAATGAAGGATTTATCGCTCACATTGAAGCCCGATTTCATTGCAAGATGTCAAAATCAATGGCTCACTGACCAGAAGAATAATTTAGACGATGGAGAGTATGTTGTTTGTCTGGATTTTGCTGAAGATTATACCTGTCGCGTGCAAAATTCAGTCCAATCTGAATATTGGAACACAACGCAAGCAACAATTCATCCGTATGTGATTTACTACAAAAAAAGTGTTGTTGTGGAACACACGAACACGACAGTTCTGCAGTGAATTTGTTCAATACAAAATTAATTTCGTTCATGAAGGTTAATTTTGGCCGACCAAACGTAAAAAAAATCTATTACTATTCTGATGGAGCCGGTTCTCAGTATAAAAATAAATTTAATTTTATCAACTTGCTCCATCACAAAGAAGACTTTAAAGTGGACGCCGAGTGGAACTTTTTCGCTTCAGCACACAGTAAATGTGCATGCGATGGGCTTGGAAGTGTGATCAAGCGAAACGCTTATCGTTCCAGTTTACAAAACCGAGACTCTAAGAAAATTACAGAGGCACAATCGCTTTTTGAATGGGCACGAATGTATTTCAAGTCAATACATTTTGGATTCTGCACGAAAAATGATCACGAAAACTTAAAACGCGTTACGACAAAGCAAAAACTCTAAAAAATACTCGCCAATTTCATCGTTTTGTGCCCAATGTCCAAAAGAAAATGGAATGCAAAATTTTTTCAGGACATGATGAATCCGTAATTGTACCTGTTAATTAAAATGAGTTTAGCCTGCTTCATGTTATACAACTGAAAAAAACAAATAATACCAATAAAACAATAAACTTTCATATCTGACACATGGTTTATGTTTTATTCTTAAACCGTAAATTCATACATATTAGCTGCTCCTGTACAAGCTTCCCAGTGAACACGTTGTGCGCTTAAACGGTGAGCGTGCATGGTTCACGATGCGTGCAAGCTGTGGCTGTTAATAATAAACAAAAAAGATCCAACAATTTTTTTTTTCAGAAATATTTTCTTCAATAAATGCAGTTTTCGAAAATATAAACGAAATTTCAAACACTCATTGAGAACATATTTTTAATGCAACTTCAATATTTATGATATAATTTTAAACCAAATTTTTTTTTTCTAAATTATAAAAATATTTTTTTTTAAAGCTTCAATGTCACTACGCTTACAAAAAACTTCATCAACTTTCGTCAAATACTTTAAGAGAAAATGATTTTTTAAAAAAAGATTGCTTAAAAATTAAATTGCTTATAAAAACTTCAAAAATTTAAATTTTTCAAAAAAATTCTCACAATCCATTTCACATCTATAAATCTCTCTAATTTTCACGCAAAAATGCCAACTTGACTGAAATCCGTGGCCAGAAATTTTCACCCATATACCTACATACTGTAAAAGTGTTAGGGCTGTTAACTTATCCATTAACGATTTAACTATAGTTTGAAATAGATAAGTTACGGCCCTTAACGTGTATGTTCTTGTGGTGTGATTGTACCAGCTGCTGGTGCGGGTGGTGAAATATATAACACAAACGGCAATAACGAAAATTTTTGTTATTTCCCAATTGAATGTGAAATAACACAAATTTGCTTTATTTCATTTCTCGTTGAGCAATAAGACCAACTTTTAAACTTAACAATTTGAGTAATAAGGCAAAATAGTGCACATATGTAGGTAGTCACCAAGTTACATTTGACAAAAAGTAGTACATGAACAAGTTAAATGGATGGATTTGTAAGTATGCAATTTTGAAGTGCCCAGCGTCGCGGCGGTCCGCGTTCGCACACCGCCCCGCACCGCGCCGCGTTCAACGTCGCGCTCGCGTCCCCGTCCCCTCCCCTCCTTTCGCAATTATGCACTGCTGGCATTATGACCGTTTAGAAAAAAAGAATATTAATAAAATGACACTAGTTCACTTCTGAAACTGCTTTTTAATGTCCAAGTAATTGGAATTATTGTGTATGGTGTTATTGCATGCACCCCACCCATGGTGGAATTATACCAGGTGAAGTAATATTAGAGTGGGAAGAAATATTTTGACACTGCCTTATCAGAAAATAAAGCGAGAAAGCTGTTTATTATTTCACCTGTTTATTGCGTCGTTCATCCCACCTGCTTGTACCGAGTATACGTTCAAATTTACAAGTGTTAGAGTAGGTAAAATTTTACATATTTTTGCATCACTATTTCGTACCGCATGTTCGCTTCGTCTTCGTAAACGAAATCCATATTTCGGATATAGTGAAACAAGTGATGATAATGCAGAAATTTTAACTGAAGATAAAACTCAAAACAATATTCTCTGTGTGATATGCTGCGAACAGGAACTGCAACTTTTGTTTGTTCCATGCCATGGCGGAATTATACCAGGTGAAGTAATTAGAGCGAGAAGTTAGATTTTGACATTGCCTTATTTGAAAAATTGTCTTTAGAATTTGACCATGATTCAATAATGCTGTATAATAATAATAATGTATTATTGAATCATGGAATTTGACTATAAGGCAGCCGAATGACCGAAAATACGGCGAGAAAGCTGTTTTATAACTTCACCTGTTTATTGCGCCGTGGTTCCATGCAAACATTTTACGGTTTTCCAGCAATGTTTTCAACACATTTAAAAAAGCATGCAGCTAAAATTAATGCTAAAGCGCTATGTCCAATTTGCTGAGCAGTTATTAAAGACGACTCTTATCCTATATTTGTTAGACTTTTCATAAGTAAAAATATCTTGTGAATATTACTTTCTTCATATGAATTATATCACATTTCTTGTTTAATTGTATTTTTTATACCCGAGCGCACTTTTGCACAAGGGTATTATAACTTTGTTCACATAACGGTTGTTTGTAACAGGCAAAACGAATCGAGATAGATATAGACAAATGTATACATAAATGATCAGAGTGAAAAAAGAAATCGATTAAGCGGTGACTGTCTGTCCGTCCGTCCGTCTGTCCGTCTGTGCACACGATAACTCGAGTAAAAATTGAGATATCTTAACGAAACTTGGTACGTGCACTTCTTTCGGGCGTAGGACGGATGGTATTGAAAATGGGCAAAATAGGACAATAACCACGCCTACCTCCCATATAACGGTAATTTTCAGAAATACGAAAACTGCGATATTTTAGTAACTACTGAAGATAATTCACTCAAAATTTATATTTACAATGAGTTTTAGACGAAAAATAAGAATATTAAAAAATTTTGGCAAATGGGCGTAGCCACGCCTACTTATTTCTTCCAAACTTGGCACAGTTGTTGGCCCTGGTACAGAATACCAAATGGCCGAAAATTTTTAAAATCGGAGAATAACCACGCCCACATCCCATATAACGGTAATTTCGAGAAATACGAAATCCTTGATAAATCAGTAAATATTAAAGCTAATTTATTCAAAATCGATGCTTGCAGCAATTCTTTACCAAGAAATACGTTTATGATAAAATTTTGGAAAATGGGCGTGGCACCGCCCACTTATGATCACATATATTTATCTCGGTAACCGTTCTACCAATTTGTAACTCGGTACGGTTATTGTGCTTGCCACAAAACAATGAAAATTATTGAAATCGGACTAAAATTACGCCTACTTTTCATATAACGGTAAATTACAGAAATGCTTGAAATTTCGATAACTCAAAATTTAAGGGCGCTAATTTACTCAATTAATCGCCCTCAAATAATACTCACAATAATCTCTTAAAATAAGATTATTATGGAATTTTAGAAAATGGGCGTGGTAGCGCCCACTTATAGCTGTATAACTTTATCCTATCAAGTATAACTGTACATACTTAGGGAGTTCACAAGTCGTGCTATTTGTCATATTTGCTCTTTTGTACTATTATTTTAGAACAGTTGTAAAATGAAACTTGTGAGCATCCCATACTTTTTCGTGTGCTATTGTACAATATTTTAACAATTATATTTGACAAAATCAAAATTATTAAAACAGCTTTAGAAAGTTTCTAATGCCCAGAAGAAGCGAGAAAAGCAAATTAATGGCTGCGATTTGTGAGAAGTACGCGCAGGACGCAACGATGGAAGGAAGTGAGTCGTCAAATAAGTCATTTATGAGTTTTTATACCCGAGCGCACTTGTGCACAAGGGTATTATAACTTTGTTCACATAACGGTTGTTTGTAACAGGCAAAACGAATCGAGATAGATATAGACAAATGTATACATAAATGATCAGAATGAAAAAAGAAATCGATTAAGCGGTGACTGTCTGTCCGTCCGTCCGTCCGTCTGTCCGTCTGTGCACACGATAACTCAGGTAAAAATTGAGATATCTTAACGAAACTTGGTACGTGCACTTCTTTTGGGCGTAGGACGGATGTTATTGAAAATGGGCAAAATAGGACAATAACCACGCCTACCTCCCATATAACGGTAATTTTCAGAAATACGAAAACTGCGATATTTTAGTAACTACTGAAGATAATTCACTCAAAATTGATATTTATAATAAATTTTAGACGAAAAATAAGAATATTAACATTTTTTTGAAAATGGGCTTAGCCACGCCCACTTATGGTTACATGTGTATATCTTGGTAACCGCTGCATCAATTTATTCCAAACTTGGCACAGTTGTTGGCCCTGGTACAGCATACCAAATGGCCGAAAATTATTAAAAACGGACAATAACCACGGCCACATCCCATATAACGGTAATTTAGAGAAATACGATATCCTCGATAAATCAGTAAATATTAAAGCTAATTTATTCAAAATGATGGTTGCAAAAATTCTTTGCCAGGAAATACGTTTATGATAAAATTTTGGAAAATGGGCGTGGCACCGCCCACTTATGATCACGTATATGTATCTCGCTAACCGTTCTAGCAATTTGTACCAAACTCGGTATGGTTATTGTGCTTGCCACATAAAAGTAAACCATTGAAAATTGTTGAAATCGGACTAAAATTACGGCCGCTTTTCATATAACGGTAAATTTCAGAAATGCTTGAAATTTCAATATTTTGAAATTTAAGGACGCTAGTTTACTTAAAATTTATACACGCCGGCTTATCATGTAGCGGTAGCTTTCGGACAGGTGGAAAACATATATTTAATACTTGCGCCGGGTATTTAATGTTCGGCTCCGCCCGAACTTAGACTTTCTTACTTGTTTTTAATAAACAAAGTTATTTTTCCTTCTGGTCAGTAAACTGTTTTTGTTACAAATAGTTAGTCTGTTCCAATAGCAGTCCGGCTAACAGGATTTAATCAGAACTTACAGGAAGTCGGTCCTATTGACATAAAACCTGTAAGTGGGAAAACATTTGAGAGAGTAACTGAGCACTTGTTCCTAGTCAGAAGTTACAGGATTTATTCCGGTGTTTTTTTCCTGTAAGTTTATGAAAAGTGTCAAACGATCAGCTGATTTGCATGTGCAAGCAAAAACAAACAGCGGTGAAAGCAAAGAACCTTATATTTGTAAAAAAAATGGAGGTAAACAACGAAATATTTGAATATGTACACATTTTAATAATTAGTTAGTGATATTTCAGCCAAATCAGTGTTGTACAAATGACATGTAAACAAACCGACTGACGTTTTTACAGGAAAGAGTGCTTTTTGCGTTCCTATGCACTGCTGCATATGTTCTCCTTTTACTCTCATTTGAGAGCGTAAAATTGTAGTTTGCCAGTTCCACAGGTTTTAGTCCGAAGTTTAAAGGAACAGACTATGTATAAATAAGCAATGGGAAATAAGGCAAAATTCTCTCACACTCTGATTTTGGTATTATTTCCCATTTAAAAGTGAAATAAAGCAAATTTTGCGTTATTGCCGTTTGTGTTATTTCATCCCAGCCCTGGAATGTGACTTCAACCCTAAGTCGGACAAATTTTTTTTGGACCACTATACCTTCTAGATACATATGAACAAATTGTTAATTTTCTAGAAACTATTTTAAAACTGTAACATGATTTATTACAGACGAGAAAGTGCTACAAAGCGGACTTTGTGTATCCGGACAAACTATTTGCGGTGCAATTAAGCGAGTTCGACAATTAGAAGATCAATGTAAAAGCATTATTGTTAACATCGGATCTGTGGATATTATGAAGGGCCGTCCGTTAGTGCAAATAGAGCATGACTTCCGTGAGCTCATCAACTTAATGTTCAAAAAAGGGTACACCCCGATTTTAACGACGTTGGCCCCACTTGCGAACTTTGCACACGACAAACAAGTTAAAACTAAGTTGGAACGTTTTAACCAATTCATCAAAAAAGAGGGGAAGTTTTTGGTTGTAATGGATATATGGGCTTGCTTGGTAAATGAACGAAGTCACATACTATTCGATTGTTTCCAAAAGTAAGTAATTAACCTGCAGAAATTATTTATTTTCTATCTAGAATAAAATTCCGTCCAATTTTTCTATGCAGCGAGCCAAGAATGGTGACGGGTACATCAGAACCGTACGTATTTTGGAACAAAATTGGTCGCCAACGAGTTTTACAATTGATAGAGTCCAAATTGGAGTATTAGCAATTATACAAAAATTTTTACATGTCTGGCCAGCATCTAATGAAACGTATCTAAGTATTTGTGTATGGGAATTATGTTATTTCTGAAATGTATTACGATTTTAACCTGTTGTTTGTTATATATGTTATTATTGACATGTGTATACTTCGCAATTGTAAATTTAGATTTTAAAACGACTAGAAGTTAATAACGGTGTAAATTATAAGGTCGACCAAAATTTTAATTGTACGTAGAGTGCATCAATTCCTTCAACGACGTCATTGAAATCTAGAAGTATATTAAGTACTTCAAAAGCTTTATTCTAATGTATAAATGTGCACGTTATATATTAATGAATAGAATTTTTGAAAGTGGTGTTAAATTCTTAACTCGCTAATCCTGCAGAAAATGTAATAAATCTACGTTTTGCAAAATCAATACCGGTGTTGATTTTTCTAAAAATGTAGAATATTTTCTTCTGGGTAGTTAACTGGTTTATTTAAGCTTAGTATTAAAGCGTATTACTATATACAAATATTGAAGCGTAAACATTTAAGCTTAGATATTAACTAAGAGAAAATATTTGTATACATAAATATGTGCATATTATATATTGTACAATCTGAGGAAATATGAACGAGCCAAATATGTATCTATGTATGTACATATGTATGTATGTACATACATTTATACTTATATATATAAGTATAATTAGCACTAAAATTCTTTACAATAATACTTCTCTGAAGTTTAGAGTTTCCCAGCGCAATTGTACTATACACGCAAGACACTTTCATACACACATACGTCTAGAAGATATTAAAACAATTTATTTGTAAATTTATATATAATGTATTTATTTCCTTTGGGATAAGTCTTTCGTTATTAATGTGATTGTATGCCAACAATAAAATGCTAAAATATGCAAAAGGAAAAACGCTTTACTAATGGTGGCTATTAGTGTTTATTGTTCGCGCAGCATACATAAATGCAAAAATTTCAAAATAGTCTAGTCAGTATAGGAAATGAAATTGCAAAAAAAATTACGAAAATTTCAAGGCGGTATTCGTGTGATTTGTGAAGCTTAAATTTAACACCCTTATTCTAGAACAAGAATTTTCGTAATTCGTAATTCGTAGCTAAACAAAAACATATATATGTACTGTACGTACATATACTCATAAATATTGAATTCAATAGACCGGTCTTGTGTCGTCTACAAAGGTGTACCGTGCGCTCATTTACCGGTTGCACATAGTGATGCATTACAAGTTCCAAATCATCCATCCGAACTCGAAACTGTCTATGATTGCAAACAGTCTATGGCAACGCCATTACCACTTGATGGATCTGATTACATTCCGATTGAAAACAATTTACCGCCTTTCATATCCCAAGAAAACCTAAACACCATGGTGCGTAAATTAAATCTCTCCCATAACAACGCAATGATTTTGGCATCAGAACTGAAAAGCGTGAATGTTTTAGCACCAGGAGTAAAAATAGCGGCCTACAAACATAGACAAGATCCGTTTATGCCATATTTCAAGTTATCGGAAGATGGCACTCAGCCTTATTGCATTGATGTTGCAGGTTTGATGAATGAAATGGGAATTACTGACTATAAACCCGAACAATGGCGTCTCTTTATTGACGCATTAAAGGGAAGTTTCAAAGCAGTCTTGCTTTATCGCGATAGTAGCAAGAAACCTGTTCCCATCTTGTATGCGGTTGGAATAAAGGAATCATACGAAACAATGCAATTAATCTTAGATTGTATCAAGTACGAAGAGCACAGGTGGCGCGTGAACTGTGATTTTAAAGTTCTCTCACTACTATCAGGCATGCAAACGGGCTACACTAAATACTGTTGTTTGTTCTGTCATTGGGATAGTAGAGCCAAATGCAATCACTATACCAAATGTGATTGGCCAAAAAGAAAGGAACAATCGATTGGCCAATTCAATATAGTTTACGAACCCTTAATAGCGCTTAATAAAATCATGCTTCCCCATTTACATATCTAACTTGGTGTTGTTAAGAATTACATCAAAAAGTTGGTTAGAGTCAACGAAACTGCATTCCTATATTTGAACAATAATGCCTTTCCAAAACTTTCCGTTGAAAAAATCCGTGAAGGTAGTTTTTTGATTGTATATGAGTTAATGAAGGATCAAGGCTTCTTGGAAATTCTTGATGGCACAGCAGCCGTTGCATGGGTGCGGTTCGAGCTTTAATTAAACACGTTCTGTGTTAAAATCGTTCATCAGAATATGCCATTTTTATTGCGAACGTGATGGAATCTTTTCACGCCTTTGATGTGCACATGTCGCTTAAAATCCACATGCCAAACAGTCACTTTGACTTTTACGAGCAACAGCTTACAACAGAAACCGACGAGGTAGGAGAGAGATTTCACCAATCCATTATGTGTTTTGAGGACCAATTCCCTGGAAAACGATTGAATTCAATGTTGGCGGACTTTTGCTGGTCGATCGCAGGAGGCAAAGGATATTAAAAAAATCATTGGAGCAATACAAACTAGCAACATATGCCAAAACGGGATTGAAGAGAACCCAAATTTAGGTCCAAATAGTATATAAACTAATATTTTAAAAAAATATTACGAAATAAAATATGAGTTGTAACGCAAACCCACATATCTGAACAATCAGTTGTATGGGAGCTATATGTTATAGTGAACCGATTTCCATGATTTTCAGAAATAGCTAAGGTAATATCAAAATACAGTCACGTGCAAAATTTTAGTAAAATAACCTTAAAACTGAGGTAATTATTAACAAAAAACCTAAAGTTTAAGCAGATTTTTAAGCACCGTTACCTCGAAAACTAGAGCCAATCTGAAAAAACGTAGCACGCCATTGAATTTAAAAGTTCCCAGTTAAGTAAGATCGGTTATGAAAACTGTTGCCCAGAAAAAAATTCAAAACCTGAGCAGAACCTGAGTTTTAAACGACGAAAAATTCACTTTCAGAACTCTAAAACTTCCCCCCTAAATATCTCAAAATTTTGATGTTTTACGGATTTTCTGAAAACGCCATCATAATCTAGAGGCCAAAATTAAGTTTACGTGCTTGGCCGTTTAGCTGTGATATTTCAAAACCCACTCAAAACCCTCAATTACGAACGGCGAATCAACCTGTTTACACAAAAAATTCGTGATTCACTTTGCATCTCTGATTCTTGTTCTTTGCTTTTGTTTAATGTGTTGTTTATTGTGTATTTCAAGGATGTGGCAAGTTGGTGTCCTTGTCGCGGGGCCAGATCTTAAGTGATGACATGGGGGCCCTGAGAGGCTGAGAGGGATGCTCCGCATGGGAACCTGTGCTTACACAGATTCCTATGTGGAGATTACCGTACCAACAAACTTAGGGTGTTCCACATTGCGGGGCTACGGGTGTCACAATCCCGGGTACCCCAGTCAAAGGCTACCAATTCTGAGTCGGTTGGAGGCTCAATTGGAAGAAGAGTCTTCGGCTTTCGAAAGTCATACCAAAGACTTTAAAAAAGGTACCGCGGGCGAACAGATGCCCCTGGAGTGTGTTCGTTGGCTAGATAAGCAAAGCCAGTGAGACGAACAAGGCCAAAAGACAGGCCAGATGCACATGTAAGATCGTACAGCTGGTAAGATTTGCAAGGAAGAATGTGGCTCGTCAAGCTACTCGAGCGGGTGTAGAAAACCGGAAAAGGAGCAACTCCATGCCTATTGTCCACCCGGGCTGGAAAGTGCTCCCCAGTAAGGCCAGTAAGACCTGTGAGGTTAGCGAGACGAGCAGAATGAACGAGGTGGGTCAAGTGACTCGAACAAGGGTTAAAAGTCGATTTTCACTCCGGACGGGACATCCTGGGGTGGAATGAGATCAGTAAGTCTTGCGAGAGGAGGGAGACGAGCTGGATGAAAATGTTGAGAAAACTGTGGAAAATGTTGGAAGCGTGGAAAACGTTGGATACGTGGAGAAACGTTGAAAATGTTGTAAAACACGGTGTAAATTTTGTGGTGAACCGTGGAAATTGGTGAATATGTGGAAGTAAAAAGCAGATCTTACTAGTTTTGGGGTTAAGCATGTGTTTCTGGTATGTTTAGTGACGTGACTCGAGCTACTCAAGCAAGTCTGGCTGGCGAGCACTACTCCAGTCTGTTCAGTGAGGTACGGCCCTTCGGGGAGTATCGCGGGGGCTGTGGTTTAATACCCGAATGCGGAAGAACTCCCAAGGGTTCGATGTGGAGTTGTAGTGCAACAGGGTGCCGGGACACGAAGAACGGCAGAGATTTTTAGGTAGATTTCGGCCTCACCAAGGTGGTAAGGTGTCCTCCCACACTGCCTTTGGTACTGATATGCTTGGGGATGTGTGTAGTCTATGAGTTTTGACAGCCGTATCGACAAAAATTAGAGAAGACAACGATTTGTTCTTGATTCGCATGGTGATTGGATCTGAATCACCAACGAATGAAGCGATTCGCTCTCAAAATTTTGTATGGCGAATTACGTGATTCGGCTCGTAATTAAGGCGCCAATAACGAGTGAGAGAGCGAATTACGAATGCGAGAGCGAATCACTTGTCGCTGAAACATCATTTAACGCTTAAACGTGTGAGGTACAAGTGTTTGTCAGTGTTGCCATTTTGGTGCTTTTGGAGCTAGATTTATGTAGCTCTTTATTCTTCTATTTATCTCCGAAAATTGTGCTTTAGCTCCAACCTATTTTTTCAGCTCTCTTCAAAATTATCTAGCACCTTTTTAGCTCCAGAAAGTTTTAGTTGTATTTGGTAATACATTAAAATTAAAAATCTGTAATTTCATTGTACAAGTGTTGACTAAAATTTATTTGGCTTTGCTGATCTCAGGTTATTCTCGATAACTACCTTCATGTTATTCTTTTTCGAGTAATGCTTAGATACGTTCCATTCCCTTCCATGTTATTCTATTTCGAGTAATGCTTAGAAACGTTCCATTCCTAAAGCAGGTAAGCAAATGGAAAATGGGCAAGTAAAGCTACGACCGCACTAAGTGACGCGACACTGCAGCGGCACTACACTACACGGCGCGACACTTTTTGGTATACCGCACTAAAACTGCAGCGGCACGACACTTGGCTGCAAAATTTTTAATTTGTTTGTGTCAAAACCTTCAAACAAGATGGATGCCAGTGACGCTGATGTAATGTCAATGCCTTTTATTTTTCTTGGCGAATTATTCTCATATGTTATGTTTCATTACATAAAACTTTCTTCTTGAATGAATGTTGTTCCGCTGGGTATACCGCACAATGCGGCACCGGAACTGCGCGACACAACGCGGCGCGACATTTTTTCCCTAGTTAGTCAACTTTTCCGCGCAGCATCACGTCGCGTAGCTCCGCTACAGCGTAGTGCCGTATCCTCCATACGAATCCATACAAAGAATATTTTTCCGCGCTGTGTTGTGATGTGTCGCGTCGCCTAGTGCGGTCGTACCTTAAGTCGATTAAGTTTCTACAACGAGCGCGGGAGCACACAAACTATACCGGGCAGTAACTCGAGCCTTTATAAGCTCCGACGGTGTATTCTCTGTCAGGCGGCCACATAACTTCTGCTTCCGTGGATATTGCAACACACGGAATACATATATGTAATAATGCAGCTATAGGAGCCACCTCATACCACAGAATTTATCGGCCGCCTATTTAAATAGTAGGGCTCGCTTGAAGTATGTACTTGAAGATGTATGGAGGTGCGCACACTACACCAACTTAATCGCTCCGACCAATTAGTTATGGTGCAATGGAAAAACTAGCAAGCCCAACTAAATCTGCGGCCGATAAAATCCGTGGTGTGCGATGGATCTACAACATTATAAACAAGAAATACTGCAGTCAAATTTTCGTTTTAGGGTTTTTATTCATGTGATTAGCAGTGGCAAGAATGTATGTATAAAAATGGTGTGAAAAATTTATAGCAATTCATCAATTGAGAACGGTTGGGCGGTTTTGGCTAAAAATTTCTCTTTGTTGTTCGCAACTGTCAGGAAAAGGTTTTTACGAAAGAAAATTTCGGGAAATCCCTCCGGGAAAATCGGAAAAATCGAAAATTGTGTTTTTTTGTATGGAATTTTGTGTGCAATTCCTTCTGAATGGCTTCTTCTTCTTTTTTGGCGCTGTAACCGCCTAAGTGATTTTGGCCGAGTTCAGCAAAACACGCCAGTCATTTCTTTTCTGTGCCAACTTACGCCAATTGGAAACGCCAAGTGAAGCCAAATCCTTCTCCACCTGATCTTTCCATCGCAGTGGGGGCCTCCCTCTTCCTCTGCTACCACCAGCGGGTTCCGAGTTGAATACTTTCAGAGCTGGAGCGTCGGTGTCCATTCGAAAGATATAACAAAGCCAGCGGAGCCGCCATATTTTATTTCGCTGCACTATGTCCATATCGTTGTAAAGCTCATACAGCTCATCGTTCCATCGTCTGCGGTACTCGCCGTCGCCAACGCGTAAAGGCCCGTAAATCTTCATGTCTTTCAATATCTTTCTCTCAAACACTCCAAGAGCCGCCTCATCGGATGTTGTCATTGTCCATGCTTCTGCGCCATATACCAGCACGGGCATGATGAGTGACTTATGGAGCGTGGTTTTAGAGGACTTTACTCCTGAATTGCCTACTCAGTCCAAAGTAGCACTTATTGGCAAGAGTGATTCTGCGTTGGATTTCAATGCTGACATTATTATCGGTGTTAATGCTGGTTCCCAAGTAATCGAAATTCTCTACTTTCTCGAAACTGAAACTGTCAACAGTAACGCGGGTGCCAGGGCGCGAATGGGCTGACTGTTTGTTTGATGAAAGGAGATACTTCGTCTTGTAGTCGTTTACCACCAGACCCATTCGCTTTGCTTCCCTATCCAACTTGGAAAAGGCAGAACAGACTTCGCGGTTTTTGTTACCGCTGATGTCGCTGTCATCGGCATAGGCCAGCAATTGCACGCTCTTGTAGTAAATTGTTCCTGAGCGGTTCAGTTCTGCAGCTCTTAATATATTCTCCAACATCAGATTACAGAAGTCACATGAAAGGGAGTCGCCCTGTCTGAAACCCCGTTTTGTGGCGAACGGCTCGGAGAGGTCCTTCCCAATTCTAACGGAGCTGGTGGTATTGCTCAACGTCATTTTACACAGCCGTATGAGTTTTGAGGGGATGCCAAATTCAGACGTAGTGGCGTATAGGCAACTCCTTTTAGTGCTGTCAAAAACGGCTTTAAAATCGACAAATTGGTGGTGAGTGTTGATCCTTTTCTGGCGGGTCTTTTCCAAGATTTGGCGTATTGTGAATACCTGGTGTATGGTGGATTTGCAAGGTCTAAAGTCACACTGATAAGGCCCAATCAGTTCATTGACGGTGGGCTTCATTCTTTCACACAATACGCTCGATAAGACCTTGTAACCTATGCTTAGAAGGCTGATCCCGCGGTAGTTGGCGTGAATGGCGGGGTCACCTTTCTTGTGCATTGGGCAGAGCACACTTAAATTCCAGTCGTCGGGCATGCGTTCATCTGACCATATTCTACACAAGAGTTGATGCATGCACCTTATCAACTCCTCGCCGCCGTAGAATAGCTCAGCTGGCAGGCTGTCAGCTCCAGCGCCTTTGTTGGTTTTCAGCCGCGTTATTGCTATACGTACCTCGTCATAGTCAGGCGGTGAAACGTCGACTCCATCATAATCGACTGCGGGTTCTTCTTCTCCGCAACTTTCCGTGCTGCTACTATTTAGCAGTTTTTTAGACCATCAGTCTAAATGTTCCCACAAAATAATGTCCAGCCCTAATATTCTGACACATTAGGGATCCGCCCTAATGTAGGCATATGTAGACACAAATACATACATATACATATACGCGCTGACACTATTATTCCGGCCGTTAACTATTATATCCCGCCGGACAGCGAACTTTCGTTAAGTTTCCCCTTGAAGCGGTAGCTAACGGTCTAAAGTAAAATTCAGTAAATCCTTTACTTCACTTCTTTTTGGAAGACCAAAGCGGAAGCATCGCAGCTACCAGGCCTCTTCAGTACAGGTAATCTCATAGTCACGAGAAGGAAATATTCTTAGTTGTTCAAATAATTTGACGTCAATAAATATTACAAAATACTAATCCAATTGCGTTTTATATCTTTTCTATTAATAATAATAATAGATTGGCACTTACACATATGTTAGTGTTTGGCGAAGCTTCTCCTCCTTTTCTATTATCTTCAATAAAACCACGGGTGCGCTCATTCGAAATCCCTGCGGCGCAACTGGGTTTCTTCATGGTCCATCGGAACCGAGATTTTTAATACACTCCACATTGAAAGTACCAGCACAACACACAGAGCTTCAACAACGAGCGATTTTTGTTAACCACATCAGCAACCACGGCTTTTTATAACACCAACGCTTTTTATCCCTGCGCCAGCGAAATTGCCAGTGATTCAGTCAGCTGTGCCACAAACCAGCCAACCGGCAACTACAGCACCAACAAACTCAAACACAACCACACTCAGCTTTCTTGCTACGACACCTAAATTTGCCAGGACACCAACGAGCACTACAACCACCAAACACCAATCACTTCTAATTCAAGCTCCGTGGTTATAATTTCAATTGCACTTGTTAGAAAATTGCTAAAAAAAAACGTTTTTAAATTCAATGCGCGTGTGCTAACTAGAATCTCGCGAGTGTTTAAACTGAAAATATACAATTGGAGCATTTAATTTTGAAACCACACTGTTAATAATTGAGGTTAGTCTGTCCGTCCACAAGTGACAACAGCGAACAGGTGTTCTTGCAACATTAACATATACACACACAGTGTCACACAGTACTCGTTGGTTTGCTACACATTTTTTTAGAGTCTTGGTTCAAATTGCGTCCGCGAACGGCAACCAAAAAATAATTGCACTTTGCAAACACGCGTATATATACACTCACAGCAGTGATCCGTATCACATAATATTGTTAATGAAGAATTTCGATTTTGTTTAAATTCACAGTCCATAATCATAATCTTCATTTTTCTGATCGTTTTTCCACTTCACCTTTTATTTGGGTTAAATTCTTTTGTATATTTGCGAACACTTTGTCACTGTTTCGAGGATACATAACCTCTAAATTTTATTATTTGCATTGAACCAATAGTAGATTTTCACTAAATCACTACGCATAAGCGATTCAACTCCGTATAATATTGCACATTTTTTTAACATATATATTTGCTGCGTACGTTGCATACATCAAAGTGGTAAATCTGTATATTAAAATTTGCTGCGTACGTTGCACACATCACGATTTTACCACGTTTATTATTTACGCCTTATTGCGTACCTTGCATAGCTTATCAAAGCGCGTAGATATTAGTATGCATTGTTGGGTGGCGAGTGGTATGAAAGGCGCAACATTTTGATGAGTTGCTCGGCAACTTGTTTGTTTGGAGAAAAACAATATTGATCGTATAAAGGCAGCTTTAGGTGAATACGATCCACAAAACGAATTACGTTAGGAAGAATGAAGCGCAATCTGAAAATGAGAAAAAGGTTACGAAAAAATCGAACAAAAGCATATGTAATATGAAAATATATTGATTTGATACCACTACGTTCGATACGTTACACGATGCCCCGAAGCCGACAGAAGATGCCTTGTTTTTTTGGGATCGAGCAAACGGTCGCAGTTTTAAATATGCCTGTGGCACGGGGCAGCATTTTTTTTCGTTTGTTGGAAAAGCATACGTATGTATGTGCATATGCCAGATTTTTGGTTGCCATGCTATACAAAGATGCCAATGGCAAACACCATATCACCCCAGTGTAGGTAATCCGTGGGTTCCTTCTGCAGTTGGTAGCAAAATTATTTTGTTGTATACTTCCACACAAAGTGCATTCATCGCCTTCCTGGAAATTGAACAATTATAAGAATATGGTAAAATATTTGTAGTGCTACATATACTCACGAAACCGCGTGGCCATTCACTAAATAACCCAACCTTTGTTAATGGAAAACAACCTTTTTGTGGAATCTATGTAGATACAAAAGTTCCACATAAAGCACCTCATAAGCAGCGAACAATGATGGACAACTTTCCAACAGTTCGCTGTATCAACATGGGTGGACCATACTAACGATAATTTTTGTAATTCAATCTGTAATAACTGGCCAGGCTTACATAAAAATATGAATATTCTGCAATTCAATTGTTAATTACTGGCCATGCTTATATGAAAATACTTTTTCATTAAAAAGCCCAAAAAACTTTATTTACAGATTTAAAATTTTTAATATAAAATACAAAGGTAAATATGACATTCCGTTCCAAATATAAGATATGAATAACGAAATCATGCCCAGTAGGATGTTAACCTTTTTGGGGGGCAGGCCACATTATTGGCTGTGAAACTGTCAGAAAGATGGTAAAGCACTATTAGCATATAACATTAAAGAGAAAGGAAATACAAATTTAAATTATACTCTCGAAATTAGTGGCGGTGGGCACTTTCCACGATTTATGGCCGAGAATAAAAAAAGTACGATTTTACTAACACCGGTTTTTTACCTCATGAGTGGGCAACTTGCTCGGCAACTTGCTTGGGCAACTTGCTTGTTTGGAGAAAAAAAATATTGATCGTGTAAAGGCAGGCATACGATCCACAAAACGATTTTCGTAGCTAATTTACGTTCAGTATACTATGTTCACACAAATTAATCTTATGTATATATATATAATGCCAAGTTCACACCCACCGAATTACGCGTTTGCACTCATCAAAATGTTGCGCCTTTCATACCACTCGCCACCCAACAATAGATCTACATGGGTACATATACAAACAAAACTATGACATAATTTCAGAAGGAAACATGCCTTATGTCACTGCCTGGAGGAAAAAGACTGAGCTATGCAGCCGCCGTTATCCGCAGCCGTGCCACCTATGCGAAGCGAATCACCCTATTAGGCTCTGCCCAATCTATCGAGAAAATCCCCTGAGGAGAGATTACGGGAAGGACTACTGGGCCGCTTCTGCGCTAATTGCCTCGCGATGACGCCCCAGCTTAAAAACTGCACGAGCGAGGGAAGATGCCGCCGATGTGGTGAAAAACATCACTCGACGCTGCATTTGGACGAGCCCGAAAGTACGCCTAGAAAATCATGGGCACAACAGGTGGAGGAAGAGGAGGATGGCAGTTCAGACGGGGCGCTCTTCATCACACGCCTAGAAAATCATGTGCACAACAGGTGGCGGAGGAAGAAGAAGGCTGTTCCGACGATGCGCTCTCGATAATTGCGTCCGGTTCTGGAAGGAAAACGGGACCTTTCCGTCCAGAAGCCGAGGAAAGCGGACCAATAGAGCCGGCAGCGGAGGCTCGGTCTCTCCGCGCTCTCACCGAAGGGGTATCGGAAACTAGGACTTTCCGACCCCTGTTGCAACATGAGCGGAATCGGATGCGCGGAGCGGAAATTAGGCCTCTTCGCCCGCGTAGATCAAACCGCAAGTCCTCACGGCGCATACGCATGGAAGATGGACTGGCGACTCGGTCTCGCCAGGTATTCAAACCACGTGCATTCCGAAACGGAACGTTTGGCCATACGCTACGACCCATGGTCCCCATCGCTTCAACGGCCATGGTGAAAGTCGAGGCTGGAGGGCGGCTACATTTAGTTCGTGCCCTCATCTATGTATGCGCTAGCCGATCCATAATTTCGTCTTATTTAGCCAGAGAGTTGCGTTTGGATGAAACGCGCATGGGCGGAGAAAAGGGCTGCCTTTTGCGACTCAGGGGAAAGCATGGGAAAAATAATCGCATTGTGACTCAGGCCGTTCTCTCGCCGCACTTCAATCGCGTTACCCCATCCAGCAGTGTAGACCACGCAATAGCTGAGCCATATGCGCACATACGACTAGCAGACCCAAGATTTTATGGCTCATCACCGATTCGTTTAATACTCGGTGCCGACGTCTACGCAGACATTATTCTGCCTGGGACTCTGCCCACATCCGTCGGACCACTTTTAGCTCAGAGTACCATCTTTGGATGGGTCCTCTCGGGCGTATAAAGAGCCTGACTTGTAATTAATTGCCATTTTGCTTGGATTTACGTTATTTTCATTTGAATTATTATTTTTTTAAATGAAGTGCATTGAATTGTAACCACTATTGTACCTTTAATTCTCCCCTTTTTTATAGCAATTTAGGAAGAAGAAAGACGAAGCTCATAGCGATGACTGTCGCAGTGGTTACCTGATGCTGAACAAAACTGTTTTTTCTAAAAAACTTTACCTATTACTATATAAGACAACAGAGAGAGCTTGGTGGCTGAAACGCGTCCAAATTCTTAGATTTCCTTATCACAAGTGGGCCGGAATATTTAGACCATCAGTCTAAATATTCCCACAAAATAATGTCCAGCCCTACTATTCTGACACATTAGGGATCCGCCCTAATGTAGGCATATTGTAACGTAGCAATTCACTACGAAACAATAGTACACAGCACGTTGGAGTACA